CCTCTCCCTCAAACTGCTGCATTAGGTGCCGGGCCCAACAGTCCTGTTAGTGTGCTGGACCTCTGAGGTTACAGCCGTGACTTAGTGTGGTCCGCTTTTAGAGGCGGGGGGAGGGGGCGGGAAGGGTACGTGGGGGTGAAGCAGGCAGATTAGGAGGGGTTACCTCACCTTTTGGAAGGATCAGGAGAGGACTTACTTTATTGAGGGGCTCCTCAGGAAACAAGACCTGGCTGTGCTGGGTTTGAAGCTTTGAGGGGGATGAGTTCAACCCCAGGAAGGGCTGTGCTAGAAACACAGGCTGCTCTTTTGTGCTGAGAACATCTTAAAAACAGAGGTGAAGAGCTAGAGGTGAGGCACTCACGTGGGGAGAGGACCCTTCTGTGTGTCCAGCTGTGGCTCAGAGGAATTTGCTGCCTGACAGCAGAGGAAAGGTGGCATGTCACTGCTGATGGTGTGCAACCACAGAAAAGGTCTTAAATTCTCTGGGGAATGAAAGGTCTCTGGGAGCTTCTTGGATGAGGCTTCAGAGAATCAGCTTCAAGAGTGTCTGAGGTGGCTATAAACAGACCAAACAGACAGCAACAAGCCAAATGGTATTACTGACTGCAGCCTTCTGAAGGGAGGCGTGGGTGATGTAGCTAATCTGCAGACTGCTGTATAAACCCTCAGCTACTTTACTGCCTCAGGCCTGGAAGACAGCAAACAATGTTTTAATTTTTATATATTCAGTGATGGCCGTGGGCACTTTGGAGCGAGATGTCGGGGTTACAGCAGATAATTGTGTGGAAACTCGGAAGCTGCAAAAGCTAATTCCACGCCTGTGCATGTCTCAAATCAAATAGACAAATCAGTCCTTGCCTGGAAGTGCTTGAGCCCTTAACTCAATCAGAGCTCTGCAATGCAGTTACAGGAGGGTGCTGAAGGAGGAAGGGGTGGAAGTATGAGCTGGTGGGGCCATGGGTCACTCTGTCTGAGCAGGGCTTACAGGACAGGCTTTGATGACTGACTCAGTCTAAGACTGAGTAATGACTTGATTCCTTGTTATGACAAAGCAAACTTCCAGTAGAGGATAGTAGTATTACTGTGGAGGTGAAGTCCCTCCAGAAAATGTTATCTGAAATGTCGAAGTGTGGTGCTGGTGGTGTGCTGAATTAAGCTTCAGTCACGTTTATGCCTTGTATGCTTACAGCCAGCTGCATCAAAACCAGAGGGCCTGATCCGAGAGCTGAAAGGAGGTGGCTGTAAGTACATGTCACGATAATCTTGGGCGCTACCCCACTTGAATACTCAGCAGAAAAAGGCTGTCATTCTGACAAGCTGTTGTGTTCTTGCACGAGGCAGCTTTCTGGGAACTGTGACCTGGCCATAATTTACTAGCTTTTGTGAGGGAGGAGAGAGAACAGAAGTGTTGTGATAATTCAAGCACTCCCTTGCCAAATTCTGGCTCATTGTGTTTCTTAAAGTGTGTGAACCACTTGGAAAAATGCCGAAACAGGTAAACGTACCTCTCAAAAGCAATCGCTGGGCTGAGGCCGTGTGCTGCTGTTAGTCAGCATCTGGAGGAGCTCGTCGAGAGCGGCTGGGCTCTAGGTGCAGGTCTCTTGCCTTTGCAGCAGGCAGCTGGGGAGGAGGCACAGCAGAAGACTCGCAGCCAGCGTCTCGTCGACACGCAGCATGTGGGATCTCTGGCCCCTGCCGAGGTGCTGCTGTTGCTGCCAGAGGCCGACTCCAGCTCGGTCTGAACTTGCGTTAGGAAATAAGGACTTGAACTTTTGGAGAGCTTGGGGCTTGCTCAGCAGTGGGTCCACTTTTATTAGTCACCGTGCTACTGGGTCAGCTCTTCTGGCAGGGGATTTGTGAAACCACGGGATTAGTCTGTTCTTAACTGAGAAGCCTGACATGTGAATAGTCCTACTAAAAACTCCCAAACCCCCTTGGCTGAGGCTCAGTGACTGGCCCAGCGGCTGGAGGAGGACAGGCTCACATAAGGTGCTGGTAGGCCATGGGATGCATTGAGTCAGGGTTTATAAATCCAGTCCTGTTTTTCAAAAATATGTTCTGTTCTGTCTGCTTGGATGCTCAGAGATTCAGAAGACTTTAGTTCCTGCAGTTTGTGGCTGGCCTTCCCTGTAAAAATTAATTCCAAGTGTTATATAAACATGGCCCTTATTCCAGTTGCAACATAATGTTGTGCTATGGA